TATATTCAGAAAGGATATACCAGTTTTATTTTAGAAAGGACTTGTGTCGCTAAAGTTTCGTCTGAACGAATTTACGGAAAATTAACAAACGAACGGAGACGTAACAATAAGTTTTTTAATGTGGCTGTGACTGATTAATTGTGAATTATACTTTTGGTTTGTGGTTTTGAAGTACAAATTTTTAAATTTTCATGTGTATATGCTAGATTTCTGCAGCTCAGAATTTTCAGGAACTTGCATGGGTTCCAAAAAATGTTTCCAATATGACAAAAGATGAAACAAACCTACTACTATAGGTATAATGGTAAAACTTGTTGTCCCAGTCATCAGTCATTGTGAATTCCACACCTCTGTCAAAATAAGAAAAAAAAATGTACTAACAATTTCACACACACAAAAAGAAGGGCTAACTTTTCCTGTCAAAATTCCTCTCATTGAACTGAAGCTTGTAAGATAAATAGTTATTCATAAGATTGATGTACTAGCCTAGTTCATTTATATGTGGTAATTTTTCTGTCTATTCTTGATTAATTAACAGGCTACATAACATCAGTAATGTGGTTCTTGGGACTCAAATGATGCAAGCTCAGACCAGCTTCCATACTTCATGCTCAGGATTCTGTGACAATCATTGTTTACACTTTTGATAAATTGGACAATAATGACTGAAGTAGAATGTGACTACTTAGTGTATGAATATAACAAGAGGGAGACCTCAATAACTGTGGCACTTGAAATTCTTTTAGGCAGGACTAGAGTAAATTAATCTATGAGATCTTTTTTCCATTTTATTAGCTACATTTTTGTGCACCAGTGATACCAAGTGTGGGGCACACGTATACCTGATTCAATTTTATTACTTATCAAAATCTCTACCAACTATACAAATTAAAACTGTTTTAAGCAGGATTAGAGTAAATTAATCTATGAGACCTTGGGTGTGGTCAAATACATCAATTAAAAGGTTTTGACTTCCTGAGTCCAAAACTGTAATTAGATCTCAAATCCGTTAAGAGATGATGGAGCTATGTGCTAACAGTTTGTACTTGAAAAACAAATTCTTAGAGCAGTTCTATGAGCCACTATGCTACAGCTAAAATGTTATGGGTGAGTTATAAAGTGATTTTCTGGTCATTGGTATCCCCGGTGAACAGAATACAAATAAAGTTATGGGCAGATAAAATTATCATCTTATAGCCTCTTGTCTTTGTTTTTTAATACACAAACAAAACTTGACACAAATATTTTAAGGGCTATTACAATGAAAACAGAGCTGGAGCACAGCTACATTTGCTAGAAAGAACATGAATATTACAGCTATTGTAACAAGCCAAGAAAATCCACAACCTTAACCATTAGTCAATTGTTAAAACTGTACAGTACTTACAGCCTAAAACTGGTAACTGAAAACCATTGTTCAGAGTGATCATTTTTCTCATTAGTATCCTTAGGTCAATAACAGGTCAAACTAAAGTCCAGTGTGTTATAAAATGGTAATTTCTTTCAGACCTGCAAAAAACATTATACTACATGTACTAGCCTTAAAGTACAGTTTATAAAAAAATGCTTGATAAGTTTTCTATTACACTTAGACTTCCTTTTTTATTATTGTTAACAAATGAAACACATAAAATAATTTTAAATATGAAAAAACAATATAAAGAGGCTTCTCTATTGATAACAAACTTGAAATGTAAACTTAAATTATTCTAGAAACACTAAATTAAAATACTAATCATTAGCAGTCATGAACTTTATCAACCAATTTTGTTTGAAGACATAAGCTGGTTCTAATTGTTCCAAAAAGCATCTTCATTAGGTTGCATCTTACGAGTTCTATATTTAATATTAATTATGTGATCAAGTGCACAGTTAAAACTTTTAAGTGGGTCAATTTTTTAATGATTCAAAAAATCAACTGTAATTGCATGTTTCATTATTCTATGAGGAATGAACAAATTACATGTAGTTGCAATTTGTTTTTAGTTAAAAATTAAATAGTTTAAAAGAAAATAACACAAAAACAAAGCCAATGATACTGATACTATAGTTATTGCTATACAGTTCATGTTTACATTTAGCTTATTTTTCAAGGAGATAGATTTTATAACTTATTTAACTTAACAAAAATGATACAACAAAAGCAGTTATAACATTATATAATATATAGGCATCACAAGTTGATTTGGTCCTTCAGCTGTCCCTGTATGCCCACCACTGATAAAAATTTAAAGCTCCTCATATTTTCAGGAAATCATTGATTCCTCTATTATTATTAAGCTATTCCAAAGTGCCATCAATATTACTTCTGACAGCAACTCATTCCGTAAGTTAAGCAGCCTGTTTGAAAAAAAAATCTGTCTTAACTTTCCATGTGTAGCCTTGATCATTTTGATCGACCTTTTAACTGCCACATAACAATGAAACTATACATACTATAACTTTTAATGTAATAAGAGTATCTTCACGAAATTTGACAAGCTCTTAGTAAACATTTCAAATCTGTTGTACATAAAAAATCAGATGCTTTGATAAAGTATTTGTACTAAAGATTTGCCTGTGAAATTATGGAGTCCGTCTGACTCAGACTTGTCTGAGTATAAGGTGATTTTCTTGTCAAGAATAAAAATATTTTTTACAACTTACAATTTTTATATTCAATTTACATAAGACGTTTTAATTCAAGTATTTAGTCAAGAGTTTGCACTGCTAAAAGTATTTAGTTTGAAAGTTACAATCATTGAGTGTGGCTTTTAGTTTTACTTTTATTGCCACCTTTCTGTCGGCAGTAGTAGCAACGGCCTTATAATGTATTTATATTACACATAGGTTTTCGTTAGATACGTATATATGAAACACTTTAGTTACCATACTAATAATAATTTAGGCTTTCTCTACAGCTTTAACAGAAACTAACCTGTTCGTCTAAAAACATGTTTTTAAGTTCAGTTTCTTATATGCAGACATCACAACCAACCAGAACATTAGCTCTTAATTTTTCGTCTTGCCTAGTAAAAACCTAACCCTAAAATTTGAGTCATTATATTCCGTCTATCTCCGATCGCTACACGCAATAGATCGTAGTGAGAGAGAGAGCAGTCAATTATTCGAGGTTGTAAAAACAAAATGTATCTACTACTCAGTATTAGGTACGAGAGAATAACCCAAACATGTTTCGATTAGTACTACAACATTCTGAAATCGTTGTTAACTCATCAATGAGAAGCTTTTACGGAATTTACCATATATCCGACAGAAAGAATACACGATACTATTTTGTGTTTCAGTTATTATAATTAGTAATAAGTTAAACCTTTCTTTTCTTTTCTGTCTTTTTTTAAAGAAAGTTTTAGGTAGTGGTTTCCTATTGACTTTAGTGAGGATCGAAAACTATGTATACAATCGTCGTTCAGGATATCTGTAAATTTGGATATATATACAAACGTTTTGGTACTTCATTTGTTATGGTTAGTTAGTTTGTTTGTTTTAAATCTCGCGCAATGCTACACGAGAGCTATCTGCGGTAGCCGTCCCTAATTTAGCAGTGTAAGACTAGAGGGAAGGCAGCTAGTCATTACCACCCACCGCCAACTCTTTTACCAACGAATAGTGGAATTGACCGTCACATATTATAACGCCCCCACGGCTGAAAGGGCGAACATGTTAGGTGTGACAGGGATTCGAACGTGGATGCGAGTCGAGCGCCCTAACCACTGGCAATGCCGGGCTATGTTACGTTTACTAATAGTAGTCTATACTGTAACTAATTACACAGGCCTGCAAATATAAATCCATAAAATTTGTTTTGGTTTTAATAACGGATTTTCTATAATTCAGCTACGCAGATTTCGAAAATAACATTCATATTTTTCTATAACGTAAAGATTTTTTACAAATCAGGAAGAAAAAACAACTCTTACTAAGATCAAATTATTATTTCGTTTAACACAATGAACATTTTAATTATGTTTGTTAACAAAAATACAAATAAACTGAAGAAAAGGGAAGAACATTGATGTCAAATGAATATGCATCCTCATTCATCCTGTTTTTTGTTGTTGTTGTTGTTTTTTTGTGTGTGTGACATCTACGTCTTTTAGTTTCAAACTACGCGGCTTTCTTTTATGTATTGTGTTATGACGTTTTGAAATTACTACCACTGAGGTGACCATTAACAATGATAGGACAATTCCTGATGGAGCACGTGAAGCAGAAGCCAGTACGGAAGAAGATATGTCCCGTAAAATTAAGAGACTTTGTTTAATTCTAATTTTGTGTTTGTAAATTCTGTACATTTAATTAAGTTATTGTT